GCTATTGAAGCTTTTGAAATTGCGTTACGTTTAGATTTGTCAGTTAACTTATTGTGGTTTTCTTAACATTATTTATATTGATCCAACTAATTTATTTTAGCTTCCACTTTAGATTAAGAGCATCTCTAATGTAAAATTTCATTTTTATTGAAAAATAGAGTTACTTTAATGGAGTATGGTTTTGTTCCAACCTACTCTAAAATAGAATAAAAAATGAAGTAACAAACAAATAATAAATTCATTACTATATTTATAGAATAACCTCATTTTTTACTTTATTATGGAATAGAAAAATAGAGTGAGTTGGAACATTTCTTACTCAAAATTTCATTTTAGTGTGAGAAATAGAGTGAGATTGGAGATACTTTAAGATATGACTTAGTGATAGATAGATCGTATTTATCTTTTCAAAAATTCTGGTTTGGGGTTCTGATTGCTTGTTTCAAAGTGAAAGTTGTGAACTTGTAAACGGAGATAGTTCAGCTTCGTCATGAGTGAAATTGGAAATTTTGGTGTCCATGAAAGCAATATCTTTTTGAAAAAAAATGAAAGCAAAACTGTAAAAGGTGTAGACTTATAAATTTGATGGCTAAAAGAGCATAGCTTGAAAGAAAAATAATCGAAAACCAAGAGAGAAAAAAGGTCTCTCAGTTAAAAGACTCTTACCTATTGTTTAAGTGACTCAGATCAATTTTTTAAAAAAATCTATTGAACCAAGTGTTTCTAGAATATTAAAACTAAGATATAGCAAAATAGTAATTTTTCTAAGTTTTTTGAAAGATTCACATGGGTCTTTTCCACTAATGATGCTATAAAGCTTCTTGTTTAGTTTCCATCTTCACCCCTAATTAACCCTTTTGATCTTTGTTTCTCCAGTGGAAGTGCGACGAATAATATGATAAAAAAAAATAGAGTAAGAAGATAAATTACAAAGATAAAAAGTGCATATCAAAGCTTATCAATGGTATTGAAAATAATCATTTTTTTCTATTACATAAGTTTCTTATCAGATGTAAATATCTAGGTATATATATTATGATATCCAGAGCAATACTTTATTAATACTTTTAGTTTATAATATTTTGATAAGTTCACTGAGATTTTCCACATTGGTTCTAAATCTTTTAACGTCATCAAACTGGGAGCTTCGGGCAAGCAGCCATACATTCTGAATTCGTAACATAACATTTTAATGTTTTCTGTCCTTCACAACAGCAAGAACAATACAATCCTACTCTGGGTAAGGAACATGTTAGAGGGAGGCACTCTCTTTTTGCTGCTAGACCGTGTGCGTCTCCCCCTATAAATGAATAACATTTTAAATAAAAAGTTGAGAATACAATAGTATATATTCATAGTTGTAGTATCTTTAATGATAAATGATGAAAAATGAAATCTTTTATATGTAAATCATAGCATTGTATACATACATTGATGCAGGGGAATAAGAGAAATCATGATGAGGCACATGATAAGAAAATGTGATGATGACATTATCTCAATACTCTTCTAAAAATTATATATTTGTTTAATATTTGATGGCTGTATTTGTAACTGACGTACAAAATTATATATTTTGATGGCTGTATTATATATATATATATATATATATATATATATATATATATATATAATCCTGATTTTGTTAACAAAAAAAATGAGAACAGAGATAGAAAAATATTTTATTTAAGATATTATGAGATATTTTTAAGACTTTTAATTATATCTGCTAATGTATAGATGACTTAATATATCTTAAAAATTTAAATTAGTTAATTAATTAATTTGTATTAATATAATAATCTTATTTGATTTAGAATCCCATTTTATATACTAAAGTAATAAAGTTGGTCTCAGATTTATATATACAAAATAAGATTACTTTATTATATAAAATGGGATTCTAAATCAAATAAGATTATTATATTAATACAAATTAATTAATTAATTAATTTAGATCTTTAAGATATATTAAGTCATCTAAACATTAGCAGATATAATTAAAAGTCTTAAAAATATCTCATAATATCTTAAATAAAATATTTTTCTATCTCTGTTCTCATTTTTTTGTTAAAAAAATCATTCAGTTTTATGGATGAAATTGCTCTAAACAGTTATACATTCATTGTGTGGTTTACTTATTTTAGTTTTTCATACTCAGGATTTTTTATTAGAAATATTAAAAATTAATAAAACTTCATCATAATCCCTTAAGATATTCCTATGAGAAGATAAAATACTTTTTTTTAAATACTTTCATTTAACATATTACTTAGGAATAAAAAAAACTAAAATAAGTAAGCCATAGTATATCCAATTGGAGAATTTTCATCCATAAAATTCAAAGAATATCTAAGTAATAAAAGAAAAAAATTTGAAGAGAGATAAACAATAATTTAACTAAGATATTATGAGATACTTTTTTAATACTTTTAATTACATTTGCTAAAGTATAGATGGCTTACTCTATTTTAAACATTTAAATTAAATTAAATAATTTTATTAAAATAACAATCTTATTTGATTAAGATTCTCATTTTATATACTAGAGTAGTAAAATCAGCTGGAATAGAGCGTGTGGCTGTTAACCACAAGGTCGGAGGTTCGACCCCTCCTTCTAGCGTTTTACAATTATTTTTGGTTCAAAAAAAAAATACTAGAGTAATAAGGTTGGTCTTACATCTCTTATATACTAAAGCACAAGTCACTTGAGCAATCAGATTTTGACATTTGTCATTTTTTTTCAAAATAGAAAAAACAGAAAAAAATCATACCACAATTTTCTGCAGACAAAAAAAACCAACGGACAAATATTTTTATAACTGCAAAAATTCAAACTCCTATTTTCTCTCAAAATACTACGATCATGTGCCATGATTAATTCACCAACTCCCATTGTCAACTGTTTTATCGATATAACATTTGAAAAACAACTATTTTCTATATTTGTTAACGTTTCCTCTCTTTATTCTTCTTCTATTCTCTTTTTCTTTTGTCGACCTCTTTTTTCTGTTATAAACAGTTTCCTGTGATTCTATTTGTATGGTGAAAATCAGAGTTTTGTTTAATATCAGAAGCTTGATGTTATTTTCAACATAAAAGTTATCCTCAAATTTTTTTGAAAACATGTAAACACACTTATATTTAAAACTATAATATGTAAAATATGTTTAAATAGATAAAATTCAGCTTTGTATACATTATTATGTAACAAGGAAATAGAAGTCAAACTTCTCTGAAACATAAACTGATAAAGATAAAATTTAAAAGGAATTAGAAAAGAAATGTGAGTAATTTCTATTAATACATATGTAAAGCTCTATTGGACGAGTGAATTCCAACTTATATACTTAGTATTTATGTGTTGAACAAAAAAAACTTAGTATTTATGTATATATTATTTTACAATATATTACTTTACTAATCTAAGAAAGAAATTTTCTGCAGATACATATTTCAAAGTGTGTGTTGTAGGTAAATATCCATTTACGAGATGTAGTAATCACATTGTCTATACATTTATAGACAGGAACAGATTAAACATGTTTTATGAAAAGTATGTTAATGTTAAGTTAAAAAAAAAGTATGTTAATGTTCATTAGCTTACTCTTCTTTCATTGTGGGTTTTTATCTTTTTGTTATTTCAACTCTTAAAAAGTATGTTTGGTGTGTTTCAAATAGTAAAATATTTTCAGTTCAATTTTGATTTTTTTTATAGTTTCTTTTATTTTGTTTGAACAAGTTTTACTGTTTTATGTTTATTACTAGATTTCTATTTTTAAAAGTATTTAAAAAATAAAACTAAATGTATAAACTCTAATAGCTAATACCATATTTTAATATTGATATATATATTAAATTTTTATAAAACTAGCTTTCAGACATGTATGATAAATAGATTTCTCAAAATAATTTAAAAAACGGTTAAGTGTTTCTAATTGCTTTAATTGAATGCATCTACTTTTTAGTTTGAGTTTATGTGTCAATGTATTTTAGATTTAGAAAAATAGGTCTAAATACAATTTGATTTAAAATATTTTAGCAGTCTTTACAGTTTTATGACCATATATTTTGCAAGGGAATTGACCCGTGCGTTAGCACGGGAAGTTATACTAGTATATATATAAGGTCCGTAGGAAATACAACCATCAAATAGCAAACAAACGCATCATTTTTTAGAAGAGTACGTACTAGTATTATTATTGTGTCATCTTTACATCTTATTATCATATGTCTAAATATGATTTCTCACGTTCCTCTAAATTAATGTATGTAATGCATACAAGATATTTTATTTTCAATCATCTTATCATCATAGACATTGCAACTCGCATATACTATTTTATTATCATTTTTAATCCTACTTTTTTTTTATATAGTAGGAAATGCAGATGATTTAGAATTAAGGAGAAAGTGCTTCCGTTTCTTTCGCTCTGCATGTACCAAACCTGGAGCGGGTTGTTTTGCTGTAACAACGCACCAGTGAAAAATTACAATAATGTTATATTACGAAAGCAGAATGTATGGCTCATTGCCCGAACCTAACTATTTGAGTGGGTTAAGAAACTTTAAGAAATTAGAATATACTCATGTGGAACATCTCAATAAAATTATAAAAATCCTGATTTGATTGCTAAGTTATAGCCTATGGTTTGGTACATTTGGATTCAGCTTGGGACTTCGTCAAATCGTTCAATGGTATCTCACGGTTTCTTCTTCTCAGTGTTGTTTAGATGCTTTTTGTATTCTATCGACTTTTGATATAATAATAACGTACGCTATTAAATGCGAAAAATTACGTAATGTATAAATACCAGAGCTCCAGTAACCTCAAGTCCATTTTCCCACAATCTCTAATCAAGTGTGTAATGGGGTTTTAATGTATAGATGTGCATGTAGCAGATACATTCATTGCCATTCGTGTCTATAAATGACCATTTATCTGATAGGTTAATTAAGGCTTTCAATGATAACATGCATAATGATTAAAAAAAAAACATGCATAATACAGTAATTGCGGTGCAGTTTTAATAACAACAAACATGTATGCAGCAGATACATGAGTTCCCATTCGAATACAAAAACAGTTAAAACCGGTGCATACAAATACACTAACTGGTATCACACATGCAAAGACGTTCATAAGACATGTCAACCACATAATCCATACCATATTTTAAACATACAAGACAAAGGAAGTTACATTTAAAAAAGGGTACCAAACCTAATAACCTTGATATTTCAAACACTTAAACTACTCCCAAAACCTTTTAAGTTGGGAGAATTACAAACTTATCATCACGGATGAGACTTACCACCGTGGCCCAAAGCGGCAACTTCACCATTAGCACCACCACCACCTCCAGACCGACCATTTCCGCTTCCATAACCATACCCACCACCATGTGCTCCGCCACCTCCAGAACCATACCCATATCCGCTACCTGATCCAGATCCAGACCCATACCCATAACCGGATCCTCTTCCCCAACCAGTGGGAGATCTACCTGAACCCGACCCGTAACCCCATCCGGATCCAGGAGCAGAACCCCAACCCCAATTGTACTCCCAGTTGGGGCCACGGCCCGACCCACTTTCGCCTTGGGTGTTTTGGCCTGGTGACATGTTACCTTTTGACCATGCGAATGGACGAGAAACAGAAGTCTTGACAGTGATTAAAAAGAACAAAACCAACAAGAGCCCTTTGATCATTTTCTAATTTTGTTTGTGATGTTTTTTATATAAAGATTTTGTTACCTCTTAATCTTGTTTTGATGTGAAGTTATTGTAACAAAGCTTCTCGCACCATTTATATAGGCAACAACATGAAGCATTATTGATATACAACGGTCAGTGACAAGTGGGTTTAATAGTGTGAGATGGGACAACCCACCCTTTTCTGAAGTCCAAACAAAAGGAAAACAAAATACATTGCAATTGTATCTCCTACACATGTTGAGCTATACATTTTTTGGTTATATAATTTTTCACTTAAGACGTACTTATCAACTGTTATAATAGGCACCACCGCCCTAACAATATAATAAGATGATCAATCATGAAGCCACAAGCAGTGAATTTTCTTACCTTTTTGTTTTAAATATTAACTAGATTTTGACCCGCGCTTCGAAAGCGCGGGTTTTTCTTTGGATCATAAACAAAATCATTATTATGTCACAAAGTCATTATATCAAAGAAGAGTCCTTGTTAAAATTATATAAGTTAAGAATTATATAAAATTTTATATGTACATTCTTATATAACTCTTTTTAGGTCTTGACATTTTACCGGATCCATAAAACCAAACCAAAATCCACCCATAAATATAGCTATGGTTTGGGTCGAAGTTTAGGACAAAGTTCATATTTGATTTTTTTTCTTTGATCTGTGGTCACTGTTCGATTGCGTATCCTACCCGAGACCCAATTGGATATTCTAAGTACCTTAAATATTTGTGTATATTACGTATATTTATTTTAGATATGTATTCGGTATTTCGGTTGTGTTTTCAGTATTATGAATTTTTTTGGGTATACTTTCAATTTTTCTAAAAAAAAATATTTTGGGTATGAAAAATATTGTATTTAGGTTCCTTAGGTCAGATTTATAGTAATCTTTTGGTTTTTTGGGAATTTAAATATTTTGTAGGTATTTATTTGTATTTTTTGGGTTTTATTATTTTTAGGTTTCCGGGTACTTCTAGTCTTTTCTGAGTCCTAAGAAACTCGAACCAATTTGGACCCGTTACGTACCCAAAAGTTATAGGTCTTTTATAGGTATTTGAATTACGGACTTTGACCCCCAAAAATTCGACCCGAATCCGAATCAGAAATTTCAAATTCGTAGCTATGTTCAAATGCTTAGGATCTGAAAAACCTAGTGAAAGTATGCAACAACCTTAGATAAGTAGATTTTCAGAATGCTTCTCTTTTAATAGTATATATTAAAAAGATAGAAATACATGTTAGTTTTTTCATATGCTTGAGCATTTTACTCCTACAAAACCCGAATCAGAACATACCCAAAAATATAGGTTCAGTTTAGTAAAGTCTAGGCTATAATACCTATTAGATAAAATTTCACCTACTGGTCTTATTTCGGGTATGTATCCTACCTGAGATCCCATCAGATATTTGAAATTCCTCAAATTTTTTGGATATATATGTTATATTAGATTATTATATTATATTTTAGGTATTACAAATACTTTTATGTTTTGGGTTAGAGTTATTTGTTATTGTTTCGAGTTTAAGGTAAATTTTATATTTAAAAATATAATTTGAGTAA